ACGTATACAATACTATAAGCACAGCATGGCTTTTGAGTCGACTCAAAAGTCACAATGTTGGACCAAGGGGGAGGGAGAAAGGAGACGTATACAATACTATAAGCACAGCATGGCTTTTGAGTCGACTCAAAAGTCACAATGTTGGACCAAGGGGGAGGGAGAAAGGAGACGTATACAATACTATAAGCACAGCATGGCTTTTGAGTCGACTCAAAAGTCACAATGTTGGACCAAGGGGGAGGGAGAAAGGAGACGTATACAATACTATAAGCACAGCATGGCTTTTGAGTCGACTTAAAAGTCACAATGTTGGACCAAGGGGGAGGGAGAAAGGAGACGTATACAATACTATAAGCACAGCATGGCTTTTGAGTCGACTCAAAAGTCACAATGTTGGACCAAGGGGGAGGGAGAAAGGAGACGTATACAATACTACAAGCACAGCATGGCTTTTGAGTCGACTCAAAAGTCACAATGTTGGACCAAGGGGGAGGGAGAAAGGAGACGTATACAATACTATAAGCACAGCATGGCTTTTGAGTCGACTCAAAAGTCACAATGTTGGACCAAGGGGGAGGGAGAAAGGAGACGTATACAATACTATAAGCACAGCATGGCTTTTGAGTCGACTCAAAAGTCACAATGTTGGACCAAGGGGGAGGGAGAAAGGAGACGTATACAATACTATAAGCACAGCATGGCTTTTGAGTCGACTCAAAAGTCACAATGTTGGACCAAGGGGGAGGGAGAAAGGAGACGTATACAATACTATAAGCACAGCATGGCTTTTGAGTCGACTCAAAAGTCACAATGTTGGACCAAGGGGGAGGGAGAAAGGAGACGTATACAATACTATAAGCACAGCATGGCTTTTGAGTCGACTCAAAAGTCACAATGTTGGACCAAGGGGGAGGGAGAAAGGAGACGTATACAATACTATAAGCACAGCATGGCTTTTGAGTCGACTCAAAAGTCACAATGTTGGACCAAGGGGGAGGGAGAAAGGAGACGTATACAATACTATAAGCACAGCATGGCTTTTGAGTCGACTCAAAAGTCACAATGTTGGACCAAGGGGGAGGGAGAAAGGAGACGTATACAATACTATAAGCACAGCATGGCTTTTGAGTCGACTTAAAAGTCACAATGTTGGACCAAGGGGGAGGGAGAAAGGAGACGTATACAATACTATAAGCACAGCATGGCTTTTGAGTCGACTCAAAAGTCACAATGTTGGACCAAGGGGGAGGGAGAAAGGAGACGTATACAATACTATAAGCACAGCATGGCTTTTGAGTCGACTCAAAAGTCACAATGTTGGACCAAGGGGGAGGGAGAAAGGAGACGTATACAATACTATAAGCACAGCATGGCTTTTGAGTCGACTCAAAAGTCACAATGTTGGACCAAGGGGGAGGGAGAAAGGAGACGTATACAATACTATAAGCACAGCATGGCTTTTGAGTCGACTCAAAAGTCACAATGTTGGACCAAGGGGGAGGGAGAAAGGAGACGTATACAATACTATAAGCACAGCATGGCTTTTGAGTCGACTCAAAAGTCACAATGTTGGACCAAGGGGGAGGGAGAAAGGAGACGTATACAATACTATAAGCACAGCATGGCTTTTGAGTCGACTCAAAAGTCACAATGTTGGACCAAGGGGGAGGGAGAAAGGAGACGCATACAATACTATAAGCACAGCATGGCTTTTGAGTCGACTCAAAAGTCACAATGTTGGACCAAGGGGGAGGGAGAAAGGAGACGTATACAATACTATAAGCACAGCATGGCTTTTGAGTCGACTCAAAAGTCACAATGTTGGACCAAGGGGGAGGGAGAAAGGAGACGTATACAATACTATAAGCACAGCATGGCTTTTGAGTCGACTCAAAAGTCACAATGTTGGACCAAGGGGGAGGGAGAAAGGAGACGTATACAATACTATAAGCACAGCATGGCTTTTGAGTCGACTCAAAAGTCACAATGTTGGACCAAGGGGGAGGGAGAAAGGAGACGTAAACAATACTATAAGCACAGCATGGCTTTTGAGTCGACTCAAAAGTCACAATGTTGGACCAAGGGGGAGGGAGAAAGGAGACGTATACAATACTATAAGCACAGCATGGCTTTTGAGTCGACTCAAAAGTCACAATGTTGGACCAAGGGGGAGGGAGAAAGGAGACGTATACAATACTATAAGCACAGCATGCCTTTTGAGTCGACTCAAAAGTCACAATGTTGGACCAAGGGGGAGGGAGAAAGGAGACGTATACAATACTATAAGCACAGCATGGCTTTTGAGTCGACTCAAAAGTCACAATGTTGGACCAAGGGGGAGGGAGAAAGGAGACGTATACAATACTATAAGCACAGCATGGCTTTTGAGTCGACTCAAAAGTCACAATGTTGGACCAAGGGGGAGGGAGAAAGGAGACGTATACAATACTATAAGCACAGCATGGCTTTTGAGTCGACTCAAAAGTCACAATGTTGGACCAAGGGGGAGGGAGAAAGGAGACGTATACAATACTATAAGCACAGCATGGCTTTTGAGTCGACTCAAAAGTCACAATGTTGGACCAAGGGGGAGGGAGAAAGGAGACGTATACAATACTATAAGCACAGCATGGCTTTTGAGTCGACTCAAAAGTCACAATGTTGGACCAAGGGGGAGGGAGAAAGGAGACGTATACAATACTATAAGCACAGCATGGCTTTTGAGTCGACTCAAAAGTCACAATGTTGGACCAAGGGGGAGGGAGAAAGGAGACGTATACAATACTATAAGCACAGCATGGCTTTTGAGTCGACTCAAAAGTCACAATGTTGGACCAAGGGGGAGGGAGAAAGGAGACGTATACAATACTATAAGCACAGCATGGCTTTTGAGTCGACTCAAAAGTCACAATGTTGGACCAAGGGGGAGGGAGAAAGGAGACGTATACAATACTATAAGCACAGCATGGCTTTTGAGTCGACTCAAAAGTCACAATGTTGGACCAAGGGGGAGGGAGAAAGGAGACGTATACAATACTATAAGCACAGCATGGCTTTTGAGTCGACTCAAAAGTCACAATGTTGGACCAAGGGGGAGGGAGAAAGGAGACGTATACAATACTATAAGCACAGCATGGCTTTTGAGTCGACTCAAAAGTCACAATGTTGGACCAAGGGGGAGGGAGAAAGGAGACGTATACAATACTATAAGCACAGCATGGCTTTTGAGTCGACTCAAAAGTCACAATGTTGGACCAAGGGGGAGGGAGAAAGGAGACGTATACAATACTATAAGCACAGCATGGCTTTTGAGTCGACTCAAAAGTCACAATGTTGGACCAAGGGGGAGGGAGAAAGGAGACGTATACAATACTATAAGCACAGCATGGCTTTTGAGTCGACTCAAAAGTCACAATGTTGGACCAAGGGGGAGGGAGAAAGGAGACGTATACAATACTATAAGCACAGCATGGCTTTTGAGTCGACTCAAAAGTCACAATGTTGGACCAAGGGGGAGGGAGAAAGGAGACGTATACAATACTATAAGCACAGCATGCCTTTTGAGTCGACTCAAAAGTCACAATGTTGGACCAAGGGGGAGGGAGAAAGGAGACGTATACAATACTATAAGCACAGCATGGCTTTTGAGTCGACTCAAAAGTCACAATGTTGGACCAAGGGGGAGGGAGAAAGGAGACGTATACAATACTATAAGCACAGCATGGCTTTTGAGTCGACTCAAAAGTCACAATGTTGGACCAAGGGGGAGGGAGAAAGGAGACGTATACAATACTATAAGCACAGCATGGCTTTTGAGTCGACTCAAAAGTCACAATGTTGGACCAAGGGGGAGGGAGAAAGGAGACGTATACAATACTATAAGCACAGCATGGCTTTTGAGTCGACTCAAAAGTCACAATGTTGGACCAAGGGGGAGGGAGAAAGGAGACGTATACAATACTATAAGCACAGCATGGCTTTTGAGTCGACTCAAAAGTCACAATGTTGGACCAAGGGGGAGGGAGAAAGGAGACGTATACAATACTATAAGCACAGCATGGCTTTTGAGTCGACTCAAAAGTCACAATGTTGGACCAAGGGGGAGGGAGAAAGGAGACGTATACAATACTATAAGCACAGCATGGCTTTTGAGTCGACTCAAAAGTCACAATGTTGGACCAAGGGGGAGGGAGAAAGGAGACGTATACAATACTATAAGCACAGCATGGCTTTTGAGTCGACTCAAAAGTCACAATGTTGGACCAAGGGGGAGGGAGAAAGGAGACGTATACAATACTATAAGCACAGCATGGCTTTTGAGTCGACTCAAAAGTCACAATGTTGGACCAAGGGGGAGGGAGAAAGGAGACGTATACAATACTATAAGCACAGCATGGCTTTTGAGTCGACTCAAAAGTCACAATGTTGGACCAAGGGGGAGGGAGAAAGGAGACGTATACAATACTATAAGCACAGCATGGCTTTTGAGTCGACTCAAAAGTCACAATGTTGGACCAAGGGGGAGGGAGAAAGGAGACGTATACAATACTATAAGCACAGCATGGCTTTTGAGTCGACTCAAAAGTCACAATGTTGGACCAAGGGGGAGGGAGAAAGGAGACGTATACAATACTATAAGCACAGCATGGCTTTTGAGTCGACTCAAAAGTCACAATGTTGGACCAAGGGGGAGGGAGAAAGGAGACGTATACAATACTATAAGCACAGCATGGCTTTTGAGTCGACTCAAAAGTCACAATGTTGGACCAAGGGGGAGGAAGAAAGGAGACGTATACAATACTATAAGCACAGCATGGCTTTTGAGTCGACTCAAAAGTCACAATGTTGGACCAAGGGGAAGAGAGGAGTGTCTGTGTCTCTGAGCCATGGGTTTTCTAAGCTCACCACAAAGAGTCGAGTTTTGAGTCGACTCAAAACTCGAGTCATGAGAAAGAGGGGAAGAGAGGAGTGTCTCTGAACCATGGGTTTTCTAAGCTCACCACAAAGACTAGTGTCTCTGAGTTGGTTGTTTTTAAGAATTGACGCAGATGCACCACCTTTTGCGCACTGTACTCCAAACCTGATGCGAGGCGGAGGGGAGAACGGGAGGAGCAGAAGGAGCAGAGGTCAGGAGGGGAAACACAACAAGACAAACGCTTTGACGCAGATGCACCACCTTCTGCGCGCTGAACTCCAAGCCTGATGAGAGGCGGGTAGAGGAGAAGATGCGAAGGAGCACAAGGTGCAGAAGGAGAAGAGGACAGGAGGGAAAACACACACAGACATCAGAACTGGCGCAGATGCACCACCTTTTGCGCACTGTACTCCAAGCCTGATGGGGGGAGGGGAGAGGAGCACAAGGAGCAAAGACTAAGGACAGGAGGGGAAACACACACAGACATCAGAGCTGGCTCAGATGAACTACTTTCTGCGCAAGGGGAGGGGATACGAAGGAGCACAAGGCGCAGAAGAAGAAAAGGACAGGAGGGGAAGCACAACAGGATATAAGAACTGGCTCAGATGCACCACCTTCTGAGCGCTGTACTCCAAGCCTGATGGGGGGAGGGGAGAGGAGCACAAGGAGCAAAGACTAAGGTCAAGAGGGGAAGCACACACAGACATAAGAACTGGCTCAGATGCACCACCTTCTGCGCACTGTACTCCAAGCCTGATGCGGGGAGGGGAGAGGAGGGAGGTCAGGAGGGGAAAGGAGGGGAGTCAAGAGGGGAAGCACAACAGGATATAAGAACTGGCTCAGATGCACCACCTTCTGCGCACTGTACTCCAAGCCTGATGCGGGGAGGGGAGAGGAGGGAGGTCAGGAGGGGAAAGGAGGGGAGTCAAGAGGGGAAGCACAACAGGATATAAGAACTGGCTCAGATGAACCACCTTCTGCGCGCTGTACTCCAAGCCTGATGCGGGGAGGGAGAAGTGGGGAGGGGAGAGGATGGGAGGGGAGGAGGGGAGCGGAAAGAGCAGAGGGAAGTGGCTCAGATGCACCACTTTCTGCGCATTGTACTCCAAGCCTGACGCGGGGAGAAGATGGGAGAAAAGGAGGGGATATTTATAGTTGAGGTTGGGAGGAGTGATGCGTGGCGTGGCGGTTGTTGCAGTGATTCAGGGTTTAGGGCAGCCGTATGATGAGCTCACCTATTATTCTTCGTAATTTGGTGACACGATGCCTGATGAGATTACCTGTAGGAGCTTACCAGAGGTGGGTGGGAGAGTGATTCAGACCCAAGCCAGCACTAATAGCTCACCTATTCTCCTGCACCCGGGCGGTAGGTATTTAGTGACGGGGTGCTTGATGACCTTGAGGAGCTTATCAGTGGTGGGTGGTGGGTGGTGGGTGGTGGTGGTGGGTAGTGGGTGGTGGTGGGTGAAAGAGTGATTCAGAATTTGGGTGGCATTTTCAAAGGCTCACCTATTCTCCGGCATCCTGGCGGCAGGTACTTGGGGACGGGGTGCTTGATGACCTTGAGGAGCTTATCAGAGGTGGGTGGCCTATCAGAGGTAAGCTAAATTCGGATCTGTTGGCATATCAGAAGCTCACCTATTCTCCGGCATCCTGGTGGCAGGTACTTGGTAACCGGGTGCTTGATGACCTTGAGCAGCTTATCAGGCCCGTTTGTAGCGCGTATGGATAGCTTTTGCAACAGCTGAACTGTTGGTAGAGGAGGAAAGGGAAGGGAGTGGGGGAGAGAGAAAGAGAGAGAAAAAAAAAGGGGGGGAAGGGGAAACGAATGAACTGAGCAGGATAGAGGGATGTTGGAGGGAGGAAATAGAGAAGGGGAAGAGAGAAGGGGAAGAGAGAGCTATTGCAATCACATGCCCACACATTTTGTGCAAAACGTGTTCACCCATGAAAGGTCTACTCAATCTCCCAACCCCACTCCACCTAATTTCCGCCCTTCCTCCACCCACCCATGAGCCCGCAGAAGCGGGCGGGGAATGCGGATGTGGGGGTTGCCGTTTCAGGCCCCTCAATTACCAACCCTGCCTGCACACCCAACCCCTCACCTCCACCCACCCACCCCCCTCCCCGCCCCCCTTCCCTGACCCACCCATGAGCCCGCAGAAGCGGGCGGGGAATGCGGATGTGGGGGTTGCCGTTTCAGGCCCCTCAATTACCGACCCTGCCCACCCACCCACCCCCTCTCCCTTCCTCCTCCCACCCACCCATGAGCCCGCAGAAGCGGCGGAACGTGCGGGGAATGCGGATGTGGGGGTTGACTTGGATGAGTGTGTTGCGCGTGGTGGCCACGTAAAGCGCCTTGAGCCTCCCAGCTTTATTGAGTGGGCTGTCCAGAATGGCTAGTAGCGCCTGTGGGGGGGTAGACATGCGTTCAAGGGGAAGGGGTGGGGGGGCAAGGGGGAAGGGAAGGGGGGGAAGGGGTAGACTTGGATGAGCGTGTTGCGCGTGGTGGCCACGTAAAGCGCCTTGAGCCTCCCAGCTTTATTGAGTGGGCTGTCCAGAATGGCTAGTAGCGCCTGTGGGGGGGTAGACATGCGTTCAAGGGGAAGGGGTGGGGGGGCAAGGGGGAAGGGAAGGTGGGGAAGGGGTAGACTTGGATGAGCGTGTTGTGCGTGGTGGCCACATACACGGCCTTCAGCCTCCCTGCCTTGTTGAGTGGGCTGTCTAGTATGGCTAGTAGCGCCTGTGATTGGTGGGGAGTGGGGGGTAAACGTGTGAAGGGGGGGGGGAAGGGGTAGACTTGGATGAGCGTGTTGCGCGTGGTGGCCACATACACGGCCTTCAGCCTCCCTGCCTTGTTGAGTGGGCTGTCTAGTATGGCTAGTAGCGCCTGTGATTGGTGGGGAGTGGGGGGTAAACGTGTGAAGGGGGGGGGGGAAGGGGTAGACTTGGATGAGCGTGTTGCGCGTGGTGGCCACATACACGGCCTTCAGCCTCCCTGCCTTGTTGAGTGGGCTGTCTAGTATGGCTAGTAGCGCCTGTGATTGGTGGGGAGTGGGGGGTAAACGTGTGAAGGGGGGGGGGGAAGGGGTAGACTTGGATGAGCGTGTTGCGCGTGGTGGCCACATACACGGCCTTCAGCCTCCCTGCCTTGTTGAGTGGGCTGTCTAGTATGGCTAGTAGCGCCTGTGATTGGTGGGGAGTGGGGGGTAAACGTGTGAAGGGGGGGGGGAAGGGGTAGACTTGGATGAGCGTGATGCGCGTGGTGGCCACATACACGGCCAGCTTATCCAAGTGGCCTTCAGCCGCCAAGCCGCCCAGCTTTATTCAGTGGAGTGTCCGGAATGGCTAGTAGCGCCTGTGGGGGAGGAGTGGGGAGGGAGGAGACGGGGGGGGGGGGGAGGAGCGGCAGAAGGTGCGGGGAATGCGCATGTGGGGGTTGACTTGGATGAATGTGTTGTGAGAGGTGATTTTTTAGGCGCCTCAAAAGACGATTTTTGAGACGATTTTTGAGACAACATTTGGGCCGCCTCAGAAAGAGGTGGCCACATAGTTCGTTTGCCTTCGCCTTCGCCTTCGCCTTCAGCTTCAACTTTCTCGCTTGATTCAGCGGGCTGCCTAGATGTCGCGGCAATAGAGCGCGGAGCCCTGGCACACCTCTGCTCCACGATACACCTGCTCACACCCAGTCGAACCTATCCGCACCTGGTGGCAGATGTCAGGGCGGTAGAGCGCGGGGTTCTTGCCGTTGCCACACACCTGCTTGCACCTGGTGGGGACATCTGCTAGCACCTACTCGCACCTCCTCGCACCTACTCGCACCTCCTCGCACCTACTCGCACCTCCTCGCACCTACTCGCACCTCCTCGCACCTACTCGCACCTCCTCGCACCTACTCGCACCTCCTCGCACCTACTCGCACCCACCTGGTGGCAGATGTCCGGCCTTTAGAGCGCGGGGTCCTTGCCGTGCTTGCCACAACTGCTCGCACATAGTTGAACCCACTATCACCTACTCGCACCTCCTCGCACCGCACCTGGTGGCAGATATCTGGGCGGTAGAGCGCGGGGTCCTTGCCATGCTTGCCACACCTCCTTTCCACCACGATACACCTACCTGAACCTACTCGCACCCACCTGGTGGCAGATGTCCGGCCTGTAGAGTGCGGGGTCCTTGCCATGCCTGCGCAGGAAGCTGTTGCATGGCTCATCTGACTCCTCTACACCTCTGCACCACCACAGTACACCTGTTCACCCCTGATTATACCTGCTTGCACCGAGTCAAACCCACTCGCACCTGGTGGCAGATGTCAGGGCGGAAGAGCGCGGGGTCCTTTCCATGCTTGCCACACCTCCTTTCCACCATGATACACCTACCTGAACCTACTGGCACCGCACCTGGTGGCAGATGTCAGGGCGGTAGAGCGCGGGGTCCTTACCGTGCTTGCCACAGACCTGCTTGCACCTGCTCACACCTTGACAAACCTGCCCGCACCTTTCCCTGGTCGCACCTGCTCGCACCCACCTGGTGGCAGATGTCTGGTCTGTAGAGCGCGGGGTCCTTGCCGTGCTTGCCACACCTCCTTTCCACCACGATACACCTACCTGAACCTACTGGCACCGCACCTGGTGGCAGATATCTGGCCTGTAGAGCGCGGGGTCCTTGCCGTGCTTGCGCAGGAAGCTGGCGTGGTCGTCGCAGTTGAGCAACACGTATGTCTGGGGGCGAGGAGGAAGGAGGGGGGGGGGGAAGGAGAGGGGGGGAAGGAGAGGGGGGGAAGGAGAGGGGGGGAAGGAGAGGGGGGGGGAGGAGGGGGTGGGGGGGGGGGAGGAGGAACGGGGTTTCGGATTGTGGCGAATAAGTACCCGAGGAGAAGGGGAAGCTGGCGTGGAGGTGACTTGTGAGTGACGTGTAAGTCGACTCAAAAGTCACCTCCGTACCTGAGGAGAAGGGGAAGCTGGCGTGGTCGTCGCAATTCAGCAGCACGTATGTCTGGGGGAGAGGAGGAGTGGGGGGAGAGGGGGAGCAGGGGGGAGGGGGGGCAGGGGGGAGGGGGGGTTGAGGGTTTTGGCAAGTGGAGAGGCGCAGGAAGCTGGCGTGGTCGTCGCAGCTGAGCAGCACGTTCGCCTGGGGGGAGGGGGAGGGAGGGGGGGTGGTGGAGGGGACGCGGTTCGGGGTTTTGGCGAATACTGGCGAATAAGGACGTACGCCTGGGGGACGAGGGGAGGGCGGGGTGGGGGAAGTTCGGGAGTGGGGGAAGATGGGGGGGGGGGGGGGAGAGGGGGTTGAGAAGAGAAGGAAGCTGGCGTGGTCGTCGCAGCTGAGCAACACGTACGTCTGGGGGCGACAGGGAAGCGGTTTTAAGAGGGGGGGAGGGGGGGGGGAGGGGGGAGAGAGGGCGGGGGGGGGGGGGGGGGGGGGGAGAATTTGGGGGGAAAAGGGGGGGAGAGGCGGGGTGAGAGGGGGAGAGGGGAGTGGTATAAAGGGGGGAGGGGCAGGGTTTGGAAGGAACGTTCGTCTCTAAAAGCACGACGACGGTACGAAGCGCGGAGAGGAGAGACCTTTCCGACTTTGGCGACTTCGAGCGACGCCTTCTCCAGCACGAATATCACCCCCGCTTCCGCCGCTCCGCCCGCCGCTCCTCCCGCCGCTCCGCCCGCCGCTCCTCCCGCCGCTCCGCCCGCCGTTCCGCCCGCGGGCGCTCCTTCCACCCCCGCCTCTGCAACAGCCGTCGACGGCCCTTCAGCGGCCATGGCTGCGGCCGGATCGATCGTTTCGCTTCTGATTCGAACTCTAATATACTATTTGTAGCCTTTCCGAATCTGCTTCTCGTTACCCCCCTAGCGTTCCTCCTGAGGGTCTTAGTGTAGAACGAGGAGGGGGAATGACAGCCTATCTGGGATACAGATGGTACGGATAGAGTGGAACTACCTAGTCTGAAGCCTAAAATAAAAAGGAGACGCCAAAATGTTTACTGTGCTCAAAAGCAGAAACACCTTAGGGTTTAGTGTTTGGAGATTTTATCTTGGGCTTTGAAGAGCTAAAATTTTACGGTGTATTTTCGCTCTACTACTCGGTTTCCGCCTCTATTTTCAGGGTGAACCATAAACTACACATCAATTTCTGCCGTAAGGAAATCGAACAGTTGCGACAAAGTTTCGGGCAACAGTAACGCGTCGTGTATCGTCGCCAGGGAGCTCTGACACACTGACGAGCCTGCAGCACCGAACAGCGACGCGGAAACCGAACAGCCTGGCTGGCTCGGAGGTGTGCCGAACCGAACCACCGAAAAGGAACCTTTCGACCGCGCAAGTGCCGAGCCTTGTCGTGCACATCCAAGTCTGACCAGACGAGATTTCGCGAACCTCGCGCCTGGTACAGTTTCGGGGCAAGCCGAGTTCACGAAATAAACGAGAAAAGTAACCCGAGTGGGCAAAGGAGATTTCTGTGCAAACCGAGCCTAGTCCTTCGTTTAGTGGAGCAGTTTTAGGAGCTCTCCACTCCACTAATAAGTCTCGAGCTCCCCGCTGATCGCGTTGTGTGTCGTTTCTTCCAGACCATGCAATAATCGCTCTCATTCTTGACCATCGATTATGTGCTCAACGGTAATAATTGTGCTCCGTGGCTGAACTTACGCCTCCCGACCCCAAATTAGTGCCATTATAATAGTAGCACAGAAGGAGTCTCCCGTTCCGGAGGGTAGCCACTAACGCTTACCAAGCCGCGCTTTTTCCAGTTAGAACAAGTATCGTCCGGGACTGCATTACAACCTCCATACCCGTACTCTCCCCTCACGTGACCCGTATAACAAACTACTATCGAGTCCACCCGAAAGTGCCTACCATCACAACCTTTCAATTATCCCATTGCAGCTACATGGCTCCGCGACGCGCAGAGAGCTCGATGCAACATCCTGTTCCACCATTCCCTAACCGCCATAATTTTCCGTATCAGCGTACTAGTCTCCAACAGAGCGACTCGCTAGGGGTTTCCCAACTTTACCTTATTTATTCAGGTTATTCTGACTCTCATTCAGGCTACTCTGCCCCTTTTGAGTCGACTCAAAAGTCACCTCGCTACTCAGTCCCTTCCTCCCATCACTCCTCTTCCCCCTCCATTCGCCCATCTCGCTCCTATCGCCGCCTTTCAGACACCTACCTAGTATCCCCGAAAGTTCTCCTCCTCGCCATCCTCGTTATAGCAATCTCCGGCCACGCGCCGTTCCTCTCGCTCACCTCCCTCCCGCGCGCCGCGGCGCAGACCTGCGAAGTTCTAAGCTCCAATCAGTACGGCCTAGCAGAGCTCCCGCCAAACAAGGACTACCCCGGAAACGACTTAGAGTACATAGACGGACCTATTTCCCCAGCGGAGTGCCAACGGCGGTGCTTAAACTACGACCGCGAGCAGTGTCTCCTAGCCGTCGTTAGCGACGCGGGCGGGTGCGCGCTAAAATCCGCCGTTAATCGCCAGCCGGCGCGCAGCCCGAGCGTCCAGGCGTTCGCGCTGCCGTGCTTCTCGTCGTCGTGCGTTAATACTTCGACCAATGGCAGCGCGCTCTGCGCGCCGTGCCCGACGGATTTCTCGGACCCTAACGCGCCGCGAGCCAGCTTTCGATGCAGCGACTCGACCTGTAAGTTGTCAGAAAATTCTTACTATTGTTACTAGAACCAGCGGAACCAGCTAGAGCCAGCGGAACCAGCGCAAGCCAGCTTTCTATGCAGCGACTCGACCTGTAAGACTCTCGTCTCCTCCTCCCCGTCCCTCTCCCGCTCCCCCTTCCCATCCTCCTTAACCACACTCAACCTACCACGCCTCACCGCACTGCACCCCACCTCAACCTACCCCAACCCACCCCACCGCACTGCGCCCCTCCCCGCCTTGCAGCCATGGGGCTCTCAGGCGAGCTAGTGCCTGACGACGCCATCATCACCATCACCACCCACCCCTCTCTACCGCTCCCCACCGCACTGCGCCCCTCCCCGCCTTGCAGCCATGGGGCTCTCAGGCGAGCTGGTGCCTGACGACGCCATCACATCACTGAAGACATCCTCCCTAATAACACCGCAACCTACCGCATCCTACCGCATTTCAACCCACCCCACCTCGCCCCAAACCAGCCATGGGGTTCATTTCCCCCACCAACTCCTCGTGGGAGCTCACGGGCGAGCTAGTACCGGATGACGCCATCATCACCATCACCACCCACCCGCTCCCCACCGCACCCCACACCCCTCCCGCAGCCATGGGGTTCATCTCCCCGACCAACTCATCGTGGGAGCTCACGGGCGAGCTAGTACCTGACGACGCCATCATTGAAGACATCGACGCCACCGAGTGTGTCAGGCACTGCCCATGCTTAACCACCCTCCATCGCACTCCACCCCTCCCTACCGCACCCCACCATACCCCACCGCACTCAGCCATGGGTTTTATTTCCCCCACCAACTCCTCGTGGGACCTCACGGGCGAGCTAGTGCCGGATGACGCCATAATAGAAGACATAGACGCCACCGAGTGTGTGCACCGCTGCCCGTGCTTAACCACCCTCCACCGCACTCCACTGCACCCCAACCCACCCATACCACTGTGCAGCCATGGGGTTCATCTCGCCCACTAATTCCTCGTGGGACCTCACGGGCGAGCTAGTACCGGATGACGCCATCATAGAAGACATCGACGCCACCGAGTGTGTGCACCGCTGCCAGACCTACCCGGGGCCGTGCGTCACAGCGCAATACGTGCCTGGCATGCAGGTATGTGTGTCTTGACTTGGGTGTGGGACGTATCAGAGCATGAGTGCTGCAACCATCAACGCCACCATTGAAGACATAGACGCCACTCAGTGTGTGCACCGCTGCCAGACCTACCCGGGGCCGTGCGTCACGGCGCAATATGTGCCGGGCATGCAGGTGCGTGCGTGAATGTTTGTGTGTGTCTGTGTCTGTGATTTTGGCCTCTCAGAGCATGAGTGCTGCTTGCTACCGGACGACGCCATCATTGAAGACATCGACGCCACTGAGTGTGTGCACCGCTGCCAGACCTACCCGGGCCCGTGCGTCACGGCACAATATGTGCCTGGCATGCAGGTGTGCGGGCTGAGAAGGACTGCGTGCCATGCAGGCAGGTGCGTCGTGACTTTTGAGTCGACTCAAAAGTCACCGCAATACGTGCCGGGCATGCAGGTGCGTGGGGTATGCAGGTGCATGGGGTATGCAGGTGCATGGGGTATGCAGGTGCATGGGGTATGCAGGTGCATGGGGTATGCAGGTGCATGGGGTATGCAGGTGCATGGGGTATGCAGGTGCATGGGGTATGCAGGTGCATGGGGTATGCAGGTGCATGGGGTATGCAGGTGCATGGGGTATGCAGGTGCATGGGGTATGCAGGTGCATGGGGTATGCAGGTGCATGGGGTATGCAGGTGCATGGGGTATGCAGGTGCGCGGGTTGAGAAGGATTGCGTGCCATGCAGGCAGGTGCGTCTTTGCGTTCTGCTGCCCTCCTTCCTTGTTACCTTTCCTCGTAGTCTGTCTGAGGCGGCTAAGGAAGGCGCTGCCAGGCCTATCGGGGGCTGTGCGTCACGTCACGGCGCAATACATGCCGGGCATGCGGGTGTGTGTGTGCGGGCGTGTGCTTGTGCGTTGACTTCGCTGTAAGGCCACTGAGTGCGTGCGGCGCTGCCAGGCCTACCGGGGGCTGTGCGTCACGGGTGTGCGGGCGTGGGCGTCACGCACGGGGGCTGTGTGAATTCAACGCTCCTGTGTGTGCAGCGGTGTGTGCTCAAGAAGGAGTATGGCACGGCAGTGAGCACGATGCCGGGGTTCCTTGCCTTTGAGAGTTGAGCAACGGGCTCCCAACCGCTGCTTTGCCTTGTGATTTCATTGTTGCTGTATGTGTGTGTGCATGGGCCTGTGCGTGCAGCAGTGTGTGCTGAAGAAGGAGTATGGCACAGCAGTGAGCAACGCGCCGGGATACCTGGCGTTTGTGAAGAAGTGCGCCGTGGTTTGGGGGGTGTGCTGCGCCAAGTCTTTTATTCATCTGCCACTTCCCTTTTTTGCCTCGTGTGTGTGCAGCGGTGTGTGCTCAAGAAGGAGTATGGCACAGCAGTGAGCACGATGCCGGGGTTCCTTGCCTTTGTGAAGAAGTGTGCCGTGGACAACGGGGGGTGTGGGCAGCACCTGTGCCAGCAGGGACAGCCCAACACGTGCATCGACCCCAAAGGTGAGAGAGGGGAGGGAGGTATGTGCAGAGGGTAGGCAGCAGCAGCACCCCTTGCTGTGTTGCTGTGGACAACGGGGGGTGTGGGCACCTGTGCCAGCAGGGACAGCCCAACACGTGCATCGACCCTAATGGTGGGTGAGGGAATGGGTAGCCCTTTGCACTCCTCTTGGGTTCGTGGCATTCGTCAAGAAATGCGCAGTGGACAACGGGGGGTGTGGGCAGCACCTGTGCCAGCAGGGGCAGCCCAACACGTGCATCGACCCCAAAGGTGATTCCGTAGGGGGTTTTGGTCCGAGGGAGCCCAAGTAGGAGCCATGAAAGGTTTACATGACAGCAGCTACGTTTTAGTAAAAGATTGTTCAGTTGAAGTGGTATGCTTGCTTCTAGGCTTGCTTCTAGGCTGGCTTCTAGGCTTGCTTCTAGGCTTGCTTCTAGGCTTGCTTCTAGGCTTGCTTCTAGGCTTGCTTTTAGGCTTGCTTCTAGGCTTGCTTCTAGGCTTGCTTCTAGGCTTGCTTCTAGGCTTGCTTCTAGGC